AGAGCTTGTTCAGTCAGTGGATTTATAAGTAGAAAATGACCTTCTAACTACAAGGACTTGATTTTACCATTGGCAGCAGTAAGATGTAAACTTGGCTACTTTGTACAGTTCTGAGGTCCTTAGTTTTAAAAGGATTTGGGGAAGTTGAATGATTATAGGGAAGGACCACAAAAATGATTTAAGGACCAACAGTTGCAGCCCCAGAGCTACTTAGCTTTTCAGAAAGTATCCTGAAAGGTGATTATAGCATTTAATTCCCAAGAGAAGTGCTAAGTTCCTTATTTTTTTGTAGTTGCCAAACTGTACCTTGATGCCTTCCCTTCTGAACAATATATTTTAGACCAATACAGGCTTTTGGGCTCAGGAGAGAAGAAAGTAAGTGAAAATTGATGTAATAGGTTGTGCTATATTTTATGGTGATTACTGCTAACCTAAAGGTTTCCAAATCTTAGGAAATAATACAGTTAATAAGATAAAATACAGTCACACGAATATGAAAATTTGGAGAACTCCTACAGCATTGACCATTTTTCTGTAAGTTAGATACAATCTTGAGTACCAGGTGACTGGACTGATCTTATAATAACAGCATATTCAGCCTTGTTACATCTCAGGAAATCATTAAATCCAAGTGTTTGGAATGTTTTGACACTTTTTTTTCCCCTGCTGAGAGCATTATGAGATAAAATCAGATTTGCATGATACTTCTGGAGCCTTTAATTTTTTTACCTAAATTTTGACAAGAGATTCAGACACATTAGGTCTAAATTCTCTAGATAATTGAATAAGGTCTCCTTAAATGCCACTTAAAGTGTTACCATTATTAGTTCAATAGCTTCTCACTTCAACTTTCTGCCTCTTTTCTACTTGGCAATAGTTTAAAACAGAAAGAAAATAACAGCAGTTGAAAATCAGACAAAGAAAAAATGGGTTCTAATATTTTCATTAAAAATTTGTCTTTGCTACATAACTTTGAAGGAAGAACTGTAAAATGTTGCTCTGCAACTAACAACTCTCTTCACCACAACACAATGGAGCAGTAAATCACCAAAACAGGGAAAGTAGACTTTTAGTTTGGGTGTCTTATGAGGGTTTTTTTTTGGTAAAGGGTTCATTCTTTTCTTCTGTATACACTCAGGGTAGTTTGCAATATTAATGGGCACGTTAATACATTAGGAGATGGAATCAGTATTTTCTCCACTACACTGGGCTAGATATTCCTAGATAGCTGAGCCAGGTGCAGGGCCTAGATTTGGGTTACAGGTCCTTGTCTCACTCATGTCCTCACTCAGCTTTAAGGCAAGACCAAGGTACACAGATTTTTCTTGTCACCACATTCCTGAGGCAGGGGAGGAGGTGACAGAAGGGGCTTGGCCAAGTGTCCACACTTGCCAATACTTATGTAGCCAGGGTGACATAAAGCACAGTGGAGAGGGCCACAGATGTTGAATTAGCAAATTCTTAATTAATATCCATTCATGGCTTCCAACAACTAAGTTAAAAAATAGGAGATCAAAAAAGCATTCCTGCTAACTGTGCAGAAATTAGGACACGTGCAAAGAAAGTTGGTTCATAAGGTTTTTAAAATTTTTTTTAAATCTTCAGGAATCCTGCATCTAATGTTCTCTTGAGTAGGACCACAAAGAAGCATAAGTCACTATCATCCATTCATGAAATCTATCTCTGTTATGAAATGCTTCTCCACACTTGTGCTAATTCCTTCTGAGATACTGGCAGCAGATAAAATTATCACTGCTCCTTTTTAATTTGAACACCTTAAAATTCAATCATGTAACTGTCAGTAAGTGCACTGCAGCAAGACTTTTCAAGCAGAGAACCTCAGTGACTTCAATGGACCAATAAAACTTGGGCAAAGAGTTGTACCGCTCTTCTCACTTACTTTCTATTTATATCCACAGACCATCCCAGGAGTGAGGACAAGAAGCAAGCCCAGACAATCCTACTGATGGGCTTAGGGCAGCAGAGCCATGAAGAAGCCCTACAAAGGTGCTCAGAGCAATGCTAGGGGCTTCAAATGAATTTCACCAATACAGGGATCAGTAGATCCATTAGAGAAACAAAAAGGCATCTTTTTAGGAGGGAAACATGACTTTTTGTTGTACAATGCAATCACTTCTCTTCCTCTGTTTTTGTATATTGTCTTTCTCCTTATCTGACTGCCAGTGCTGTAATGAGTGAAATATGTTTGTGAAATTAAAACCAACCTCCAGGATTATTTTTATGAAGGAAATATATCACTTCAGTTTCTTGGTTATATCAGCGTCAGGATAGTTTTAAGTTGATTCTTTCGAACAGATTTGCTAATTTATGAAAATATAATGATTTTATCACTGCTAAATTTCCTCTTGACATTAAAGAAGAAGACAAAATTAGCCACCACTATATTATTCCATCTATTGGTATTATAAATATCTTAATGGGATAGCTGTCCAAAATTCTTTTCAGAGGCATCAATTTATATTACCTTTGATTCAACCACAGCTTCATTATTGGCATTGTAATTATTATTATTCTAATTATTTACTGGGTACAACATATGTCTCTAAAATTCTGAAAAAGTATTTTTGCTGTTTTTACTGTCACTGGAGTTAAGTATTTGTTTGTATTTCAGGTACAGAAAGAAAATAGCAGAAGCGTCTGTTTTCAGACACTTGAGTGTAAGAGAGAAAATTTTTACACTTCTTTTTAGGGGGAAAAAAAAAGTTTGCCTTTTCTTGGTATTATTGCTCTGAGGCTGGAAAACAGATGAGCAGTTTTTGTTTTCTTCAAAGTGTGTACATCCAAATTCTGGCACTACACATGGTTCCTAAGTGAGCACAGAGGACACATTCCATGATGTTTGCACTGTGCAAGTGGATGCAGTGTTTTACATAGTGGTTTGTTGAGGTTTTTGTAACTGCTGCCTGTTCTGCACTGCCTGCTGGAAAATCATCTGTCCACAGAGTATTCTCCATTACTGATGTCTAGTATTGAAGTGTGTAACAGGTAAGTAAAACCAAATACTCTGTCAAGTAGTGACAATGCTGCCATTGCCACAGTGATCTCCCATCCTTGTGGGTAAGGGGCCATGGACAATGATTATAGGAACTAGACTGCAAACGTAAAAATGTTTAAGAACCCTTGTTTTAAAACTATAATTTAGGTTATAGGAGGTTTGGGGTTTTTGATTTATTTATTATTTTATGTAATGTACTCATTCCACAAATTCTTTACTCTTTCTATTTAAGAGCTGGAGTCCTGCTCCTAGGCACATTCCCTTTCTCCTTCCCTGCAAAGTACATAAAGCCTCCATTCTTGCCAGCCTGCATTAAACACTGCAACACAATTATCTTCAGTCACTGGACTGTTATCTCAGGGAATTGAATTAGACTTCCTAGCTTAGAAACATCAAATTATTTACACAAAATGTTATAGTTGAAACAGATCCAGTGTAGACCATTACATGATGACTTTTTAAAAAGATCAGGTCACGGATTTAAAACAGAAGTGAAAGTTGTATCTGATCCTGAGGGTACCTGTTGGGAGTCATATCAAGCAGGTTAGTGCCTGTTCAGAAGCATGGAAAATCAGTTTTCCATTTAGCCTTGTCTCTAAGTTGCAGCTGTAAAAGTTTCCTCAAGAAAGGTTTCTTTGGGACCAATAACAGTTCTGTGGAAATTTCACTGTCAGTTTTCCACAAGTACAAGTGATCAGAACTTTTGGTTAAGAAATATGAAACAGCCTTAGGTGCTCAAAACCACCCCTGCTAAGTCCCTTCTGTTTGGATATCTTGAACATAATGGTTATCTTCAGGGGCAGAAAGGGAAGCATTCAGCAAAACACATAATCATATAAAGTAGGTTTTTTTCTCCTGAAAAGGGGGCAATATGTTTCATTGCTCTCTTTTTCAATACATACTAAAAACCTCTGAGATTCTCTCTCAGAAAAGTCTATCCTAATTGGCCTCTTGCCCTTACAGCTGAAACAAAATTATCAGTTAACATGTGCTATGCATTCCAAATTGACCTAGTTTGTCACAATTATCAGTTAAGATCCTTCTGTCAAGAGTGTGTCAATATAACTTTCAGCCATGAAGGCTTTTTGATAGAGTCCTGACTGTTCTAGGCATAACCTGATTACAACTTAAAACTTCTTTATGTAGCTGAATTTTACTTGCATTACCACTCTGAATTGTGACAAGAAATCAACATGGAACAACACTTGAATTCCAGCATTCCAGAAGTAAAATATCTTCCAACAGACTTAAAAGTTTTCCATTGGTACTTACCCCATAACTAGATGTAATTTCTCACCTCCACCTTCCAACATATTCCCATCAGTGTCCATTCCCCACTCACTGCCCCAACCACAAAAGTGTTCCCAGTGGACAGGAAGGAAGCTGTTCGTCCCACCAACCATCATGTTTGAATTTAGAGGGACAGTCACTTCTATGTGCCCCTCCAACACACACAGTTTTAGAGCAGCCTCCCACGCAGGGAAGCTTGGGCTACATTTGGGGTTGAGCCAAGAGGGAATGAGCACCCCTGCTCCTCTCCAGGGCATCCCTGACCATTCCCAGGCCCCCTCCTGTGTCCAGGTCTCCAGGCATCACCGAGCACCTGGAGGGCAGGGGAGGCCCTGAGCCAAACTTGCTCCCACTGCCACCACAGCAAAACTCATCTGAATTCAATGGACTGGAAATGAGCCCAAAGGATGAAAATACAAAGATACTGCTGTGGAATGCTGGGGCTGAATAGTTGCATTTGAATTTAAAGTAAGGAAAAAATGAAGGGAAAGAAAACAGTTTGATAAGAGTTACAAGATGCTATTTTCCCTTCCCACTGAGGAAGTTTTCACTTCTTTGCCACAAAGAACTGTGGTGTCTCTTGTTGTTACTCTTTTTTGTTATTTAAATTTAATTATACCTAAAAAATATTCTTCCCATTTCACCCATATACATGCTAAAATATAAAAAGGTAGAGGTAAGTATAAAATCCAACCTTTATTCCACTTTGAACAAGCTTGTGTATATCCAAAAAAGGTTCCTTGAGTATGTCTCCTTCGGGAGTGAAGATCTTCACGTATCCTTCTTTCTCAAGAATGAAGAGGCGATGGGATCCATCCCCACAATGTACTGCTCCAACAGGCTGCCTCAGTCCACTCACAACCTCCTGAATGCAGAAGCAGTTGTGCTTGTGTTTTCTAAAGAAATTTAAAGAAATAGTGAGACATTTCTTCTTTCTCGTAACCACGACACAACAGTGTCCCAAAAAGATAAAATTATTGTTGTGCAATAATATTAAAAGCAGCTTTATAATAAAACATTATTTATATGTATAAACTATTCCCTTTAATGTATGCAAGCACATAATACAGAAAATTAGCTTTAACTTCACTTGAGGAAAATTTGGTCTGCATACAAAAATGAGAACATTAAATAAACTTAGATCCAAAATGTAGAGCAATGGGAGAGGAAAAAAAGTTGGCGAAAGAAGAGAGTAATTTAGAAATACATAATTTATACTATAAAATAAACAGAGTAAATTTCATCACTTGGATAAAATTTGGATTCTAATATCCATTTTAAAATAATGACTTATGATGGAATAATCTAATTTAATTATTTTCACAAAAAAACCCTCCACAAATGAAATAAATTGAAGATCATGACATAAATTTACTAATAAACTTATTGCTGTTTTTTAGTAATATTAAATTTAGGTACAGATTACTTCCCAGAACTTTGAATGATCCATGGGCTGGACAATAACCAAGATCCACAGGGTGGATCAGAGCAGGATTCTAACACCTTTTCAGCAAGGCAAATATCAAATGGTACTGAAGTGCTGAAGCCCGTGTAACTTTCTCTTTTGACGTACTCTAGCAGCAGCAAAGGAAAATCACATCTGGAAAACACAGCTGCTCAGCATAAGCACACACGGAGCTGTTTCACTGTGAAAACCACAGGCTTTGCTAGGGGTTTTTTTTCAGCATTAAACAGCATTTATCTTTATGAACCTGCTGATCTCTTCCTCTTTGTCGTATTCTTCCATGTGGTCCAGGGAGTTAGAAGCTGGCCCTCGCACTTGTTTTCTTGGAAAATCTGGAAAGCACACACCACCATCTTTTCTTGCATAGTAATAGCAAAACTCATCAGCTGTAGTTTGGAGGAAACCTTAAAAATGCAAAAGAGCATACAAATATTTAGTGTGTTGTCATGTCTGCAGTTTTGTGTCATCAAACTCATCTTTAAATAGATTATAGTGGAAAAAGACATTTTAAACAAAGGGCTATCAGCAAAAAGAGAGTCTGCTCTGAATAAACACAAATGTATAAACACAAACTGAGCATTGCCTTTTACAGTTTATTCATCTGTATTTGTATTAAACCTCATTTTCAGTGTGCTTAAGTTTCATTCAAAATGACACAATAGTTCACTCACTAAAAAATTAAGAGACAAAGTTCAGAGTTGAGGCTGTGACACACTTCTCCCTAATTTTAACCCTATCAATCAAGTGTAGTATCTGCTGTAAAATAGCCTGAGCAGCTTCTGTTTAACTTTTTTTAAATAAGTGATTAGTTCTAGTCAAAATCTCAGTGAAGACTCTGGTAAAAGACATGCAGTAAAAGATTTGTGGAATGCTGCCAGCAAAGGACATTGGTTGGAGAGGTGAGAAGTGGGAAGTAGTGCTGAAAACTGCACCACGTTGACATCCAGGTGGTCTCTCCAATATTAAAGTAGCTGAGCAGTGTCCCATGGTGAAGTCCAGTTCCTCAGCCCCATCCCCTGAAAAAGGGATATGTCTCATGCTGCACTGGATAAAAGGTGGTCCTTAGGCTTTAGGTTAAAATGGGAAGGATTTTGAAGACCCAGAGAAACACAAAGTTGATAAAATGGGAGCCTTTGAAGAAAAACCCTGCCACTATTGCTATTACTTTCTTGCATTTTATTAAAGGATGTTGAAAAAAAATCTGTTTCTGTTCACAAACTTATTTCTAGTCATTTCAATCCAGATTTTAATCAGGAGTATTAAATATAAGAAGACAGAGTCCGGCCAGTTTTACATGTACTATTTCACCAGAACATTGTTGAGATAATATGTCTTAAGTTACCTTTGTTCCTGTTTGCATTACTGGCAACTGTCTTAGGATGTACTATAGTCCAGGACATAACTCATAGGATACACAGAATTAGCACTTAATTGGAATTAGAGGCCTAATTTATGCATGGCTTTACCACTTGTGAATAATGCAGTAATCCATAGATCTTGGCCATAAAACCTCTGGCTTACAACATACAATAAGAACTGATCAGGGACAGCTGTGTTTCGTTGGAAAATGCCAATTTCTTACAAGCAAAGCTTTTTCAGAAACATTATCAGTTTTGACAAAATTTTACTTAGCATGATGTTTCTGGTCCAAGCTCAAACTTCTAGTCTAAATGAAAAAGACAGAACCAGACAGCAAACCTTGTATCACTATACTCCAATGTCTTGTAATTAGGGTGTTTCATTAGGAAGAGGAATATTCAGGTCAATGCCCCTCATCTGTCAGGCAAGAGTTTGACCCTAAGTCTCCCATTTCCCAAGTAAATGTCCTAACAACGACTTTATTAGCTATCCTGGGGTGGTCTCTCTGTGGCTTTCTTCATGGAAAATTTCGAAAGAGTTCAATTTCTTCCTTATGTGGAATAGGAAAATTTTTTGGATCCCAGAATTCTTGTGGAGTGAAAAGCCTTTCCCACCCAACTATACTTCTTTTCATATATATCTTCCTTTAAAAATATTGGAAAAAATGACAGGACAAAGTCTGCCTTTGATTTCTATAAAATAATATCTGGAAACACATGGTAGTGTGTTGTGGTGTAAAAGTTTAATTACCATGATTTGGAGCTTCAGTAAACTTCATCTCTGAAGAGCTGCTTTTAATTTATAGTAGTTACTTGGAGAAAATGGGAGATGTAATTTCAAGTGGAACAGCTGAAGAGGAATTCGGATATAATCATAGAGTAGTATTCCAAGGCTTGTAAATATAATGCCAAAATCAAAGGTAATCTAAAATCTTGCTGTTGAATTATTTGACTTAAGAATGCAGGGGTTGGTCTTTAATAATTTATTTCTCTAGGCACAGTGGGTCATTTGAAAAAATGCAATAGCAAATTAGAGGTGTACGATTACTAAGAATTTCTAGAATTTTCCAAGTATACAATTTACTAATCACTAAAGATAAACTTCTCTTGGCTTGAGTGTTATCTTTAGTCAGGGAAACCCAGAGCAGGTTGTGATCATGTTGTTCACTAAGAGAATGTCAATTTTAAATAACAATCAGATGCAAACTCACTTGACCAGAGCAATGCCTTTTCTTGTATGTAAGACTGATCCCTTTGCCTCATGAAATATTTTATCATGCACTAAAGTGCATGGTGCACTGCAGTTGCCTTTTGCTGCTTAGCAAATCCGTCAGCAGATTCTAAGAAAGGATAAGGCTCATGGACCATTTTCATTAGAAACGCTTGTAAAAAAGTGGGGCTAGAATTAAACTATGAAAAATGCTGCAGTACTGGGAGGAATGTAACCTTGGTAAATACAGTTTCACCTGTGCATTAAGGGTGGAATATTGCTATTTTATTCTATAAAAACATAGTAATTTAGAAAAAAAAAAAACCCTCCATGTCTTATATATGCTCTATTTAACATACTAACAGCTTAACAGAGGACATTTAGAGAAACATTTGCTTCTGCACTCCTATCTGCTTGTAGCCATTTATTATCTTCTTTCTCATGCTTAGATTGCAAGGTCTTTAGTGTACAGTTTGCCATTTTGTTCAGAGTTTGTACAGTGTCCAGAAGAATGGTCCCTGACAAGTGCCCCTAAGCACTAGAATTGTTTGGAGAAAAGGAAAAAAAAAAAGGAATAGGGACTGCAACCCTTGGTCCTGTGTGAATTTCTGTACTAACTAATTTATTTTAAAAGACTCATACATATTATTGCAAATTTCCTACCAGCTGTGTACGCGTTGACAGAGCGGTGCCTGTGTTAACAAAGAAAATTGAAATCACAAAGGATGATTAAACATCATGTTTAAGTGTCAGATTTTGCACAGGCTTGCATTTCTATGCTAAACTCTGTCTTGCAAACAAGAATCCAACGACAGGCTTTTCAGTTAAGGCAGCTACAGTGAAGGCTTTCTGTGTTCGCCTTTATAAAACACTGTGGGAATAAATTGCAAGATTAAAAGCCTTTTCAAAGGAAAACTGCTCCCAGCTGATCCCCACCTCCTCTCTCCACTGGTATTTGCAGCCAGTTGTTCCTCACACTGTATCTCCCTTCCTGTCCTATCTTCACCAAATTCCACTTTGCTGGATTCCCTGATTACCCATCCCCTTTCCTCTTCTCTCTGACACACAACTCCAGAGCCATGGCAGCACACATCTCAGACTTTGCAGCAAGTCAAAGACTTGGCATTGCACACAGGATTGAGTATCATCCACTCATCTGAAGAAACCTGCACTGCCTTTGAGGGCATCTGGAAATCAGGCTCACCTGCTTGATTTCTGCTGTGACCTTGAGCCTACAGTTCAACTTTGTGTCAAAGGAGCCTTTACCTTTTGGGATTTTTTTTCTGATTTGCACCTTTGACAGCTAGATATTCACAAAAGCCCCACATTCTCCTCTCTTCTCAATTGCCAGTAAAAACCAAACCAAAGATGTGATTTCAGACAGATCGTTTCAAAATGTACCAAGTCCACTGGTAGCTCACATAATTTCCAACTGGTTTTCAAGAGACTGGTGACCCTCCTCTCCTGCCCAGACACTGCAGGTTCCTGCACACAGGCAGGGCCAGGGTTGATCCCCTTCATGCTCTTGTTACCAGTAGCAAATTTACCACCCACTACTGTTTTTCTGTAGGTTGACTGTGTCCATTAATCAGCCATGTTAGAACTTCTGGAAGTGCTCTGTGAGATGAAATATTTCTTAGAATTCCAATGTTTTGGGCTAGAATTTCAACATTTTGGAACACCCTGTTTGGTGCTTGAAAAATCCCATCAGACATCTCTTCTGGTAATGTCTGGATTCAGATCTGGGCCTGGATCTGAATTCACCCACAATCATCTGGAACCCATTTCTTCAAATGGAAATAATGGAGGCCACATAGCTCAAAATCTCTCCCATGTCCTTGGATGGCACCATGGCTGTGGCACAGGTTTGTTCCTTAGAATATGCCACTTCCAATGGCATGGATCGAGTTTCTGATTATGTCTAAAGGTAGAATCAGCCGTGGCTTTCTTTACTGTCTGTATTAGTAATAAATATTACACAATCTTCCCTTATGGAAAGGGAAAACTTAAAAATCATATTGACTGAAGACACTTCATTAAATCACTTAACTCCAGTGTCTCCATCAATAATCCCTTAAACTGAGGCTTGAAGTAAAGATTAGATGAGAAATAATAAGATTAGATGAGAACAGTTATCTGGAATGAAGCAGAAAAGCTCTAATCTCAAAGTCTTGGTGAAACATTACACCCTCCTGCTCATCCAGATAATCCTAACAGCTTCTGATATTATTCTGCTTGAATAAGGAATAAGGTACACTTTTTCTCTCAATATTCCTTAAGAAGTCAGTGGAAGTTCTGATTCAGTCATAACTGGTGGGCAAACTGCTGTCTTCATAAGAGTTAACCAAGGATCTGCTAGAGTTTTCATCTTTGCAGGACACAGAGCATAAATGAATTTTTGAAGCTAACTCATGAAAATAACTGATGCATAATTTCTCAGCCTTCTTGGTTAGTATGTCCTGCTAACATTTCAATCCCAGAAAAGATGCTTGCTGTCTTCAAATGTTAATAATATTTCTCATTTGCACAGGACTTAAGGGATAAAATTATTTTTGTAGTCAGCAATTTCCTTAAACTCTGTTGTATTGGTGTTCAGAAACAATTAGCACTCCCTAATGGAGGAAGAGTAATTATTCGACATTTTAACAAATGCACAGTGAATCATTGCCAGAGACCTTGGGTTTGGGGGCCTGTTAATTTTCAACTCTTTGTAAAATTCTCCAGGCTAAGCTGAAAACACAGCTTCCACATTTTCTATTTTTTTTTTCTTTTGCAATAAATATTATTATGGATATACAAGTCTCACAAGGAAAACAGAACCCCCAAATAAGTGATTTTAATTACTTATGTTTCAGAATGTACAAGACTATGAAACTATATTAAAATCCTATGGGTCATCTTCTCAAAAAGAGGGACCTGAATCTTAATGAATACCTTTGGGAAATGCAAGAATAGGTATCAACAACCATGAGTACCAGTCAACTCACCAAATTAATCCTGTTGGTGGATGTAAGCATGCAACAAGTTTTTGTTAGTACAACCTACTTTCAGGACAAGTATTTAGAACAATTATTAGCATCTGATTGATGTAGGAAAAATCCTATTTTAACGGATGCTAAAGTATGTAAGCTCTTTTGCTGCAAAGCACAGTGCTCTGCCCAGTGCTAAAGTTATGCTTTCATCTGGTTATCTTTCAAGGCAACCTGGGTGGTCACAAAAAGCACTTGACATCTTGATGCACTTCAGCAGTTTTACATATACACAAACTTTGTAGAAAAATAAATTTGTCATTCGTCACCACATATGTTGATCTGAGAAGCAAGGTTCCTGTGGCTGTAGCTCCTGTGCTGCTCAGCCCTTTCTCATTCTCCCTCCCTCCACCTCCTCCTTCTTTCCCCCTTTTCCCTCTTTCACTTTTTCTATTAAATAAATTGTTTCCTCATAAGCGCAGAATGTCACAAAACAACTCTGAGGGTCTCGTTGTACAGAATATGAAAATCATTTGTGCTAGCTACAAACTTGTGTCAAAAATGTCTTTGTGCTGACTTCTTATATGGGCCAAACATTTAGAATATCTAATCTGTTATCGCTGTTCAGCAGGCAGTCTTGGCAACTATGATCTATTCTGCTTTGCTTTGGGGAATGTGATAAAGAGCAAGAAACAGCTGGTTTAAGAAAGCCTTAGAAACATCTCTTAGTTTATAAAGACAATAATAATATTTTCATATTTGAATGGGTTGAGATACATGTTAAACCACAGTAAAAGGAAAAAGTAAGTCAATTAAAAATGTTTTCTCAAGTCAATAAAAGAACACTGCAAAAAAAATCCCTGCACTCTTGGGGTTTCAGAGAAAACAAGTACACACTGTAAACATGCAATTAAAAAACTATCCTGCAAATCCCATCCACTTAAACTATCCCCTTTACTCAAATATGTTTATATTATATTACAAACTGTGTTCATATGTTAAAAGTGACTATTCACAAATTCATTTTTCATTTCATTATCAAGTCTTTTTTTCCAGTCTGTGTTGCTAGTTTAAAGAAAAAAAAAAAAAGGAAATCTTAACCTATTTAATTATTTTCTCCTGTGTGGCATTGTTTATAAGTAGTGTTTGGACAGGGAAAAAAGCATAGTTTAAAAATGACAGTCTTAAACATATAAATAATTTACTATTGGGAATACCAAAGATGTTATTTAACATAATAGTGTCTTAAGACAGTGTTTCTAAAAGAGCCATCCTCTGCGGTTATTTTGTTGATATAGTTACAAGTGATAGCACACATTTGGTGACTGCCTCAGACAGCACAGGGCAAACTCTGCTTTTGGTTATGTCCAGCAAACTCCACTGACTACAGTGAGGAAGTGTTAGGTAAGTCAAGAATTTGCTTGTTAACAGCACGCTGGAAGTGATTCAAAGATCACAGAAGTCTATCAAATAGGGCCCTTTGATTTCAATGGGCTTTAAACCCTGTGGAAAAAACATCAGTTTCTAGGGTAACAAAACCAGAAAAAACACTTTACTCATCAGCTTTTAGAGGCTACAGCAAACAGCCAGGACCTTTTATATCTTGCATTTTTAAGCAATCTATCATTTAGAACAGCCTCCTGGATGGCCAGCTGCTTGTTTGTATGATCAGAATGAACACAATAATATTTCAGCAAAGGTAACAGTTTCAGGTGCCTTTGACAACAATCAAACCATGTGTGTTTCATGGTGAGTTTAACAGGAGGGTGGCAAGAAAGCCCTCAAAGTATTTACCTCCCTACACAAGATGTGCTGGGAAGACATTCTGTCCCTGCTTGGGCAAATTCCCCTGGATATCAGTGGGGATTTTTCCTGGTTAGAAGCTGGATCTACAACTGCTCAAGCAATATCAACATATCAGGACATCATTTAGCCCCATATTTTCTTATGAGTTTTACCTGGTATGTGACCTCTGCAGGTGTAATAGAACTCTTTACAATAGTCTTTGCACAGGTAGGGAAGCATTAGTTCTTTTTCAGGAGTTTCCCCTTTCTCAGGTGAGTGGAATAGGTTCTGAGCGTGAGGTGAGCAGTGTGCACACTTGATTTCCTCCAGCAGCTTCGCACATTCTGTGTTGTTGGTAACAGAAAGGACCTGCAAGCCACAAACCAGAGACAAGTAAACTTGTGACCTGTGTCCCCATCCTACACAAAGAAAGATTGCATGGCCTCATGCCATAAATAAAGCTAATGGAACCAATACAGTTACTATCAATGCATCGAGTTTCATGTCACCGTTCTGGAGGTGCAAAAGTTATTACTATGTGCAATATGTGCAATATGCCATTGGTACAGTGAGATTTTAATTTCTCTGATTTCTTATAGAGGCTTCTTACAAGATCTTCTATAAGATTTCCTATCTGAGCTTGCTTCTCAGAGAAGAACAACAGCACTCAAGTTATTTTAAGGACCCGTGCCCGCCGTCACATAGGCAATTTCTGAACTAGAGGAATCCTTTATATAAGAGGGACTCACACCAGCAGCTACCCACTTCTCTGAGAAGAAATACATAGAATCCTAACTTGTAAGGTGGCCTACTCAAGTGTTTAGAGACTAAAACTTAAAATTCTTGCATCAGAGCACATCAGGAAAACCATGTTTAGGTATTTGTAAAATAGGTGTATCTTGAACAACACAAAGCCTGGCTGCTGAAATTACTGTTGTGGAATTCATCAGGCACCATGGATTTTTCATGTTTTAAATGCTGCTCTGCTTTTTGCTCTCTCTAATGCACACTGCTTGGTGGTGGGAAACCCTGTATGTCTTCAGACATTTTTCTATTTTAAGTGCAAAAGTAGAATTTGTAATGTCTTGTTTGTGTCAATATGGAAACAGTAACTTTGTCCTCTAAAAAAGCATATATTATGGATGCATAGCACTTAAAGAGGCATGAAACCACAACTGATGATGTGTTTAAGTAAACACAGGAGCCGAAGTAGTGCAATGTCATCAAATCATGAAAAATAATGGAAAACAGCATAGTTGTCTTTATTAGCTTTTGAATGCGTGTACTTTATTAATCTATTGTTAACTACATGGATTGTTTTTTGGTCATTCATCCCAATGGTGGGCAGTGGGAAAAGTGTTCTCTCTGTTGAGAGGGTCTGAATCTGTTCCAGTGCAAAAACAAAGCTCAGGTTCTTTCTGCTATTTATATAACACAGTTATAAACAGAGACTGTACGACACTTATGTTAAGAAATATTGACGTCATAAATATATGTATTGTATGAAATTTGTAAATATTTAAAAACCATACATTTGAAAATATTGCTAGTTTTTCTATAGTTTGTATCTCTGGGCTGATTTACAGAAGGACTTTCCAATGTCATTCCCTTGCCATGTTACATTTAAGGGAATTATCTAAGTTGCTTTTGATAAATAAGTTATTTAGTGCAGGAACACTCTGGATATGCTTGAGTTTGATGTCTCATAGGTCAGCTCTCTTCTAGGATGTTATACTTTGATAACACAGGTCTGAACTCAGCTTTTTATTTACGGGGCATAATTACATAGACCTCAAATGCTTGAGAGAAATGCGCTTTCAATTGTTTAAAACAGGTATGTATTCAAAATATGACACAATATATGGCCCATACATTTTAACAACATCCTATTTATAACCACCTTAATTTAGAAGGCATTGTCTATCCAGGAAAATTTAGTCTTACCATACATATATTGTCAAAAGACCATCTGAAAATGTGCACTGAAGTTTAGTGTTGTAAGTTGGACCACTGATTAAAAGAACACCATTTGGCTTCTACCATTATTCTGGATGTGCTGCCATGGGCTTCAAAAAGAATTCCTCCAGGTTTGCCAGGATCACTAAATGCATTAAATGTTCTGTTCTTCAGACTATCTGCTGTCAAACTATCCTCAGCTTCATAGCACCTGCAGGCAAGTAATGTGGTTAACATCTGCCACATATAGTTTATTATCTCTCTTCAAACCTTTCTTGAGAATGTAATTATCCCACATATTTTGTAAAGGGTTTGTCTTTTTTTTTTTTTAAGCTTTAAGACAGTAATCAATCAGACAGAAATGACCCGTGCATGTTGCCTGTATGGCAAAAGGTTTGCCTTAGTCCTGAATTCTTTCAGGAATTTCTTCTATGGCCACAGGCTCTTCTCTCCTGAAAAAGTTTAGATTCCTTTTGCTAGGTTGCCCATTTGGGCCATAGCAGTAGAATTCTTAACCTGTCATCTTTCTTAAATTTCAAATGTTGTTCTGAGATATGGTAAATCTTCATGAAAAGAAGTAAAAATATAATAACAACTACTATAAACTATAACCAGAATACATAACAACTAAAACTTTCAACTTGAATATTGCTGAGGGTTGCAGTTCAGGTAGTAGAGAAGAGACTTGACATGCTTGCAGTAATCCATGCATGTTCTGCACCAGCTGAACTTTCCTAAGGGATGCTGTGATTCTGACACAGGGAAGGGGCCTGTATAATTCAGTCAGGTCATTGGCTGCCAAACAGGCCAAGTCTGAAGCCAACAAGGGATGAGCAAAACCACTATCCATAAATGCTACTTTTTAAGAACATCATGTCACTTGTCTCTTGGAAGTAAGGATGAAATGACCCATTTTGGTGCTTGCATCAAAGGACTGTGAGTACAGACCCTTCAAAGTACTTGCCTACATGCAGTAGTACCACCTGGTTTGCAGAAGGCTCAGAAGTTTTCATCAGGAAGTTCATCTCAGACTTTCTTGTGGTAACAGTGTGATGGTATGTTTAGAAGTACAAGTAAACACAAGGTATTACTAGGTAAATATTCAGTGTGTTTATTGAATTAACTCCACAGAGATGCAGATAGAAAACTCCACTTCTACTGGAAGGCTCCAGAACACATTGTGAACGGGGGGGGGGGAAATAAATTACAGGATGGCACAGCTAATTTACTGTTTCTTGTGGAAAACGTAATTGACGTTTTCTGGTGATACAAGCTTGCCAACATTTCAGTCCTCAAAGTTAAGACAAAAGGATCCTAATCCCCCTGAGCAGCTGCTATCCAGGAATTAACCACAGGAATTCACCCCCTCATGTAATTTCTGGAATGAATCTTGGTCATATAATAACTAATCGGAAGATTAAGGAATGAGAGTCAATCAATTATCTGAAAATCAAGTACAATGTTACTTAACTTTTAGAATGCTCAAGCAAAATAGGGTGGTAACATCTGCTCTGTGTGAGGTCTGATGTGTAACTGTGTACTAGCTTGGAGATAGGACAAGTCTCTATTCTGAATTTCAGTAAATCAATAATGTATTTATCCTGGAGTATTCTAAACCAGTTCTAAGTATATTCTGAAATACTTATTTAAATAAAGCTTTTTCGGTTGGATGTCTACTTTGAAAATGACCTTAAAGTTGACAATGGCTTTGGTCTTTTGAAGAAATGTAAACTAATTTCCTGCTTCAATTTTTAAAGTCGTATGTGAAACCATCAAACTGCAGTGGTTTAAACTAACTGCGCTCTGGAAAATATGTAAAACTTCCAAACATTTATTGCAACATGCCTAATAATGATTATGCCTGCTGCTGACTAATTTACAACATCTGTAAGATCATCCTTTTATCTCTAGCCACATGAAAGTGGAACGGGTAGACTAAAGGTAAGATAAATCCTGGAATGCACAGGAAAGCACAGCATACTAAATTGGTTTATCAAGAGAAGGAAGAGCGCAAAAAAGAAGAAACAGAAGATGACACAAGAGACAGACAGAAATTCTTTACAACTAATATTGTCATCTGTTTTGTGTACTCTGTCATATCTAGTTAGAGAAAGACAGTAGAATTTTGATGCTAACAGAAGGAAGAAACCATTGAAATAAGTCATTGCATTAAGCCATATTTGATATACAAGCATTTATGTCTAAAAATCATGTGCTGACGAGATTGTTCAGCTGTTGAGTTGAACATATGCCTCTTCTGTATTACAGTGCTGGATTATGTCATTAAAGAGTTCAGTTTCAATTTTAGGGTAATATTTAAATAGATCATTGTACTAAGGCAGCTGTTAAAGGGACCCCAAGATGAGTTATTTGTTTAGTTGGATGTGTTCAACAATAGCCTTTGTTCATGAAAGAGTCAGAGCAAACAAATGATTGCAAAAGGGCACACTTGAAAACAATTACTTTTCACCCATTCCTTGACAGCCTTGGCTGTGAAACCATCCAAGGTAGAGAGGACTTCTTTGCCTGTCAGGCTGTAAGCAAACTTTAGAAAAATTGATATTGCAATGTTTGGCTGGGATGTAGCAGCCCTTCATAAACAAGGGGATATTGCCAGAAAAATAAGAGTTAAATGTCAACAAAAGGATGCAAATATTTTTCTTGAGCCAGTGCAGTGTTGTATCTGCTCTTTACGGGAGCTCCATTATTGTTCCCAAAACTGCAGGTGGTGTTTTCATTTATAAGCACTGATCAATAATTTGGTCAAAAATTCTCACAGACCCAGAATCTTAACCAAGAGGCTCTTATTAGAATGTTTACTAAGCATGGTCAATTAATTCATTTTTTTTTTAAAGATGTCAGTGCTCATATTTTTGTTAATGGCATGGCCTCTCCATCATGTAGGTAGATGATGGAGTTTAAAAAAGCTGGTTTGGGAACTGTAGTAGAACACAGTTTAAAAAAATGTGCTTTTAGAAAAGTTACATTCAAATGTATACCATAATACTATGCCAAGTCTTCTACAGAATGACCACCCCATTCTGTCAACTATAAATTACATATATTTTGGCACATTTTTAATCATATATCTTTATCAGATATGATAAAGCAGATTTGTGAGTTTCATTAAAATTAATCTTCAGTGAAAAAAGTCTGATCTTACAACCCTGTACAATAACATTGCTTTAAAAATGTAATTTATATTTTAAAGAAAATACGAAATGGGTTCAACAGCTCAGGAATAGGTACTGTGGTCACTTCCTCACATTTACATCAGGTTTTTAGTATCGTCAGTAAGAAAAAAAAACACACTGAAAAGGAATTAAAAGATCTTTTAAAGTAATAGTAAGAAGAGAATAAACACTTCAACTGCCTGGGGATGGAAAACTAACCAAAATTGCACTTCCAGTTTA